GGGGGGGAAGGAGGGGAGGCAGTTATTTTGAAAGAAATCTGGCAGATCACATGATGAGCACTGCTCTGAAGATAAATTAGACAATTTACCCAACATTAATGCTTTATATTAACACACATTTTAGCTTTCTACTGCAGCAAAGATCCAGGGTTTACTGGCTATTTCAGATTGTGGGGAGCCACAGGTCTATTAGAACACTTCTGAGAAAATGAGTGTGCTGATTAATAAGAATATTCTACCACGTACAGCATTATGTATTTATTTTCACTGATCTGCTGTCCGCTAGCATCAAAAAGAATACTGTCCTGTCTTAAGCGAATTCATTCTTCTGAAACCCTATTCCTTCTAAATAGTCTCAAAATGTGCTATACTTAGACCATCAAGCGTTTGAACACTTATTATAGCGATATTGACCTATGAAGGTTATTCATCATTAACAGCAGCTAAAACATTCATGTAAATGCAGTTCTGCCAAGCCTTGGGGATTAACATTATAATGTGCAGCTCCCAACTCCCACTTTGCTTCATGCCTCATAGTGATCTTTTCATGTCTCACTACATAGCAGGATTCGTTAAACCGTTTTAATCCAAAAATACACATCAGCCTCAACTAAAAGCTTGAAAATATGCTGACTGCAGAATAAATGGACAGTTATATGCCAAGAACATCTGCTTTAATTAAGTCTCATAACACAGAAATGTCTTGAGGAAGCGTAGCATTGCATAAAACGGACAGGATTTTTACAATATTCTAGTAGAACACCGACACTGTACCTCAAAATAACACCTTGTACCCACATATTTATCACTGTTATATGTTTTATACTAAGTATGCCTTGTAAGGTATCATTTGAAAAATCTGTTGAACATTACTATCCTGTTCAATTGTATGTATTACCATTGTATGTGAAATTAGCTATCTGTTAGTTATTGCAACATGTGAGTTTGGGAGATGCCCAAAAGCTAGCTTTTCTGTGGTAACAAAGGAGCAACTAACACCCCCAAAATAGATTTACATCAGGACTAGCCTGCCATGTATAGATGGCTCATTAAGAAGAATCTATTCTCCAGTGGACCCCTCCCGGAGTCTCCTGTGAGAGAACATACACTATGGGGGCTGTCTAACCCCTGTGACACAGCAATGATCTTTCCAGCACCAGGTAGAGAGTATAAAAGGAGGGGCAATGATGTCACCTCTCACTTCCCCCATCTACTCTGAAGGCAACAAGAATGTCTGGAAGACTTTGAAATGGGGAGACTGGTCCCAGACTGAGCAGGGAATTCAGCCTGTGTATTAAGAACTGTGAACTGCTTACAACACCTAGTTGTCACAAGGCAATATTTAACTTTTTGCTTTGTAACTGTAAAAAAATGTTTGCTCCGAAACCATGAACCCAGCCAGGAGGGATCTACTCCTGCCTATCAGGAAGGCCTATCAAATCATAACATTCAAAAACCAGTAGGAGAACACTTCAACCTCTCTGGTCACTCAGTAACAGACCTAAAGGTGGCAATCTTGCAACAGAAAAGCTTCAAAAACCGACTCCAACGAGAAACTGCTGAACTTGAATTAATATGCAAATTAGACACCATCAACTTAGGTTTGAATAGAGACTGGGAATGGCTGAGCCATTACACACATTGAATCTATTTCCCCATGTTAAGTATCCTCACAGCTTCTTGTCAAACTGTCTTAAATGGGCTGTCCTGATTATCACTACAAAAGATTTTTTTCTCCTGCTGATAATTGCTCATCTTTATTAATTAGCCTCTTAGAGTTGGTAGAGCAACTCCCACCTTTTCAAGTTCTCTTTATGTGTCTGTATATCTCCTTGCTATATGTTCCATTCTATACATCCGATAAAGTGGGCTGTAGCCCACGAAAGCTTATGCTCAAATAAACTGGTTAGTCTCTAAGGTGCCACAAGTACTCCTGTTCTTTTTGCCGATACAGACTAACACGGCTGCTACTCTGAAACCTATCAAAACTAAATGGGCCATTGAGGGACATCACAATACAAAGACTTTGTTAATTGCTCCTTCACAGCCATGAAGAAGCTAGGTGCAAAAGGGCTCATCCCCTCAGCTTGAATTCTAGAAGAAGGAAATCAAAGCAGCTGATAAGAAAATTTTTCATCTCTGTTTTGCTGTTTGGACTCTCACAGGGCTGGAGCTAAGAAACAGAAGCAGAGATCCCCAGGGTCAACCTGGCTCAGCCCTAAAAGACATTCAGAGCTGACCGATTCCTACAACTCTGACAGTCTCTACGTAAAAGAATAAATGGACACAAATCAGACGTCAAGAATTATAACATTAAAAAAAACAGTTGGAGAACACTTCAATCTTCCTGGCCACTCGATTACAGACCTAAAAGTCGCAATCTTACAACAAAAAAACTTCAAAAACAGACTCCAACGAGAGACTGCTGAATTGGAATTAATTTGCAAATTGAACACCATTAAATTAGGCTTGAATAAAGACGGGGAGTATATGGGCCACTACACAAAGTGAAACTATTTCCCCATGTTCCCCCTCCTCCCCCCAACAGTTCCTCACATCTTCTTGTCAATTGCTGGAAATGGGCCATTTTCATTACCACTACAAATAGTTCTTTTTCTCTCCTGCTGATAATAGCTCACCTTAACTGATCACTCTCCTTATAGTGTATATGGTAACACCCATTGTTTCATGGTGGGTGGGTGTGTGTACCTATGTATATCTTCCTACTGTATTTTCCACTGCATGCATCCGATGAAGTGGGCTGTAGCCCACGAAAGCTTATGCTCAAATAAATTTGTTAGTCTCTAAGGTGCCACAAGTACACCTGTTCCTTTTGGAACCATAAACTAACTCATTTGTGTATATATGCCTGCCCACTTTAACCTTGTAGTAAATCTCTCATTTCTTTTCTTAGTTAATAAATCCTTAGACGGTTTACTATAGAATTGGCCACAAGCGTGGTATTTGGAGTGAGATCTAAGGTACAAACTGACCTGGGGTAAGTCACTGGTCTCTTGGGACCGGAAACAATCTGAGTCTTTTCTGATCTTTGGTGTATAGCAACCAACTATCATTAAATCCAGCTTGCTTAGGTAGCAAGAGAGACTGGAATGCCCCAGGGGATTGTCTGAGACTCCATGGTAAGACTGTTATAGCGCTTCAGGAGTTCACACTTGTTACTGGATTGGTGAAATCTAATTGCCGAACATACAACTAGTTTGGGGTCTCTGCCCTGCTTCTTGACAGTCTGCCCGGAGGTTGGCACTCATGGTCATGAGCCACTCCAGACAGCAGGATACCTTGCTCCATTTTTTATGTCCATATACATATTTAATTTTCCAAGTAAATAAAATGAAGGAAGGAAAGACAGTGAGGTCAGATGAGACGATCATAGTGGTCCTTTCTGGCCTTAAAAACCTACAAATCAACTAACTAATAATGGCCCAGACTTTAAGATGCAGATGAAGAAGATTCACATACTCCCAGGAAGGGGACAAGGAGAAGAGATGGCACAAAGGTGGCTTTATTACACTCCCCCAATTCTGAGATTGCTCTAATATATGATAGGGACTGATCAGGTGCAATGTGAAAACTGCTCTAGTCTACACTTGCTGGCAGTAGGCTGCAGAGACTGCTCTGGCAACTGAGGAATGCCAGAGTTGAAGGAAGCCCTAACTACACCCCCTTTTGGCACAGAAGCCTCTACATTGACTCTATGTCACTTTCGGATTCCTCCATCATAGAGGCAGCCATCTAATCCAGAGCAGGATCTGAGCTACTATCTAAAGAACAGAAAGCATGAAAAAATACATTAAGAAGTTATAAGACTAGTGACAGGAACATGAAATCTATTTTTAAAAGTTTGACATTTCCAGGTATTACCCATAATCTCTTTGCCAATTTTGGTCATTTTACATTTCTTAGCATGTTTTGCTCTTCCAATGACTTGTGAAACAGGCTACACAAGTGCTGTCAACCACACAGCATAAACCAAATGGAAACAGAAAGATCTTTTTCTCCGGTCTTAGATAATGCTAAAAGCATTAAGAGGGAAAAGTTTCTGAAACATACAATTTTTAATGTGCATTGTCCCTTTAATGTTCTAAGCTTCCACCAGTTCCAAAGTGATTCTGCCTATGTTTCTTACAATATGTTATTAGTGTCCTTTTTATCTAACCATTTGCACTGGTAGCCAACAAGAGCTGAGTCTGCAGAAGTTGCATTGAAATGGTAAATTATTAAACTGCAGTGCCTAGATCTGGAATGTTTTAAGGCAGCGCTGCGAATTATGTTGATTCTTCCTAAAGCATGTGTCAGTTTAAAATCTAATTTAGCTTCCTGACATAGGAACCCCTCAAATGTATTTCTGATGAGAATGTGATTGTTACCTAGAGGAGAAAGTAAACTGAACACTTTTGTTAGCTTTCAAAGACTGTCTACAACAGCTGACTATTTTAAAACAATTGTCATTGTTTTATTCTATATATTTTCAATTTTATCCCACAGTACATTTCAAAATCCCTTTCAGTGTAAAGGCTTCTATGTTTTAGATAACTAAGAAACAGCCTCTCTTTGTATGGACCTTTGTGTCAGCTGTGATCAGGTTGGGGGCTCCTGCTATCATCCATAAATTTGATCATCTACACAGTTTGCAGCTAGAGGGCATAGAAACTCTGGCACTTGCTGCCCTGTTGGTCCAGTAAATCTCAAGTTGACTTCAGGGTATGGTGTAAAGTATCTCCAGAGTGGCAACAATGGTATTCATAAAGAAATATATCCTGGAGTGAGATTTTAGTTTACCTGTAGATAAACTACACATTCTTTTAATCTCTACATATGCTTCTGGAGACTAGGTGATGGGCACATTTTCCAGTCTAAAAACAAAACTGCTCAGATGCAAGTATTTGTATCTTATTTCTACACTAATTCTATGTTCATCCTCATAAACTTAAGTCCACTTTGAATTTAACATACATTTTTCACATGAAACACTGCTGCTGCAAAACTCCCTTCACTGCCTATAACTAACACAACTCTTCCTATTTGCTGAGTGCAGGAAATGACTGAGAAGACAATTCTGTGACCATGATGAGCTAAAGTATCTTCACATTTTCTTGCAAGAAGGGTTATGTTTTGAGTACTGGAGAAATGCTGTGTTACTCATGTCACATTTGTTTAATGCATGAACTCAGGTGGAAGACTGTGCTGCTTAACAAAAGCATAGGACAGCAAAATTATTATACTTGCTGGAGAGGACTTGCTTAGGCCTCATCCTCATTTACAGTACTGCAGAGAACAACATGACACATCTGAGTATTTAATTCTAATAAACAAGAACTCACCTTGAGCTGTATTTCTTTAGGATGGATTCCAAAATGTTTACGAGTTCCTCAGAGTTAATGAACTTTTGGGTGCTGAGGGTGAACATTTTTTCATAGAAGTCAGCAATTTCCATCCGAGCCTGAACAAAAAAACAGAGCTGTTCAGACAGGTGAGAAAGCAGCTCTTCCAAGTGAGGAGCTGTTCCTCCTAGTGCATTGCGACCCGTCGCCACCACCTTCTTCAGCTCATTGTGCAGAGATGTGTAGATGGTTCGGATGGAGTCCTTTCGGCTGAAGAATGACTGACCACCTGTTCAGATAAATATGGATGTATTACCAAAACCCAGGGATGGCAAAGATAGACAACAATACTGGGAAATGGTGAGCAACCATGCCTCCTTTCAGCTAGGTGCTCCTAAATGTCTACATTAAGATATTTCTCTGAGGTATTTTTCCACTCACAGAATACCTTTCAGATAAGTACATTGGGAATAAGCATTTGCATAGGCACTACGCATAATTTTGTTCAGTGACTGGCATAATTCATGCTTGTTGCAATTCATTTTTCAACAAGGGACTGGTGTAAGACTTCCCCTCTCTGCCTGCCTGCCTCCCTCCCACCCATCTCCAATTTTCAGGAAGGTCACAGTATATATAAGTTCTCGCCTAGCCTTGCTAACATATCAGCTGTGACCTGGAAACACTCCTTTCTCTGGATACTAGACACACGAGTCACGGCCCAATTTTAATAATCTATGATACTATTAATAACACTAGACCTTTTAATGTGACAATGCCCTTTAAAAAATGAAACATTTAAAATTTGTAAGACAGAATTTAAATGCGAACCATACAATTGTGCGTATACCAAAAGTTTTCAACTCCCCAAACAACCCAACTGCAAATCAAAATCCCAGAGGAAAACAGTACCCACATACTTCAGAGGACTGCATGGCAGGTTATTCCATAACACGACAAAACGCAAACAAGTACATCTTAAATTACTGAGAACAAGGGGAATGTGGGCTTGTATTTTCTCAACAGCTGCTCAACACCAATTGGGATTTAAAAGAACGAATAAAAAAAAAGTAAAGATACTTCATTAGATGCCAGGAACGGACCGCATGAAGGCACCATTTCACTAGCTCTAGTTAATAATCTCCACTGAAGGCCACCTGTATTACTAAATAGATGCATGGATCTGCTGCAGAGGTGTCCTTGCTTCATAACAACTCGATGCTGCAACAAAGGGCCACTACCAGCATGAATGGAGCAGAAAGAAAATGTACTATGTATGGATGACAGGATGCTAGGACCCAAGAGATAACTTGGGGTGAAACAAAGAGCAAAAAGACTGTTGTCCTACTAAGCTGTTTATCAATCACAAGCCTCCCCTGTTGTATTGTTGTATGTCATTATATGCCCACACCAACTACCTTTCCATGATATTTAACCTGTTTCGAAGTAAAGTAAAATGTTTTAAAAGTGACCTAGTAAAAGAAAAAACTGTTGTGCCTGTGCTCGTTTTGCTTCTTTATGAGGTAATAAAGGGAGCCTGAAAATTTTGTTAAGCCTTTACTGTTTGATTTTTACATTATAAATTTAGGTCTTAACTATTTTTATCCATTCTATAGTGACTGGAGAACTAGTGAAATTAAATATAGAGTTGAAAGGGGAAGGGAATTTTAGATCCTTTAGATTCCGTGACTTCCAAAGACCTCTGTGACTTCAGCCAGCCCCGCGGGGCTGGGAACTGCAGGGTCCCCCGCCGCCCCAGGGGGACCCCTGGAGTTCAGCGGGGGGGGGGACCCTGGAGCTCCCAGCCCAACCGCAGCTGCCCAGGCTCCTCATTTTACCATGGATATTTTTAATAAACATCAGGGATAGGTCACAGGCTTCTGTTAATTTTTCATTATTGTCCGTGACATTTACTAAAAATATCCGTGACAAGAATCTTAACCTTACTAATAAACTGTATTTTGGATGCTAAGCATACTCCATTATAAAAAAAGATTCTTGGGACTTTTTTTGAAAGGAAAAAAAACAAAACAGAAAAAAAAACCAACACTTTCATTGTCTGCAGCAGGACTTTGAAATTTGCCAGGCAGTAATTCCTGAGGCTAGAGAAGCACCTTTTCTTTGTCCCATGAAATTCCTTTCAGGGTTAGCAGAGAGAAACTTTTTAAAATTGCCATTTCCCTTCTGTTGCCAAATTCTTGCTGACAATTCAAGCAATGTGCCACAGCAACAAGGTGAACATGAACATTCTAAATCTTGGCCCAGGTTGCCATCAAAGCAGAAGTAGAGAATACACAACTGCAGAATAAATCCTATGAAAAATATAGTATGTAGTTTTGTCATTAAAGACTGTCAAAGTACAAGGGGGCCAAAATAAGGTTGCATAAGCAACTTAAATTCTCATTTCCTAACTTCAGAGGGCTTAATTTTACAATCTCAATAACATCTTTCCAACATACCGGTAATAATGTATTACATGCAAAAAATTAAGAAGCAAAAAAGGGCAGACTTTCTTTAAAACAAAAACAAACAAAAAAACCAGCTTTTGCAGGCCACTTTTAAGATGCTGCATTACATTATGAGGATAGACTCCACCACAGGTCATGTAACATTATGTACAGTGACACTGCAAACCTCTCTCCCCTCTTTTACAAGTAGGATTCTAACCATAAATCTGGATAAAACCTTACTCACTGGCTATATGCATTACTTCCACTTACATCTGCAGCTTGCAATCATGTCAGTTCACTGAACCAGGCAAAACCACCTGAAACTCTCAGCAGACAGCAGACTCAACACAGAAGGCAAAAGATTCAACATGCACAGAGCACTTAGGCCCCCATCTTGCAGGAGAATCTACTGGGGCTAAAACAATGCCCGGGTGGAACCTCACTGACTTCAATGGGACTCTATGCAGGCGTCCACCCCTAAGGGATAGATTGCAGGATCAGCACCTTTGTTCCAATCTGATTCATTCTGGGAAAAGTAGTTGTGAATTTTAAGTTCACAGTGTGCACCCCTTAAAATGGAATTCCCTTCATTTTTTAGGCTGAAAGATATGTTAACATGTTAAGGAAAATCCATGTAACACAAATAATATATATTTTAAGAACACTACTTCAAAGACTAGATTTTATGCAGATATTGAAATAGTTTCATTCAGGACCTCGAGTTTTCAAATACTTTGCAACTGCAAACTTGACAGAGAATTTTTCAAACACCAGAGAAACAAAATGAAAACCCCTGTCTCTGCTGGCCCCCAAAGTCCACAACAAGCCGTTTGAACAAATGATACCTGATTATCCAAAGTCAATTTAGCCTGGTATCTGATGTCAGCAGGTATGACATATTAGCCTGAGTAGTAACAAGTTATCTTGCTTACATTTTAAATTACAAACCTACGTAACGAAGTTGTGGCATTGGATATGACTGATCAGGTTTTGGTCATAGAATTACTCATATTGCTGATTATAGATACTGATAGACGAAAAAGAATTGTTTTCTTAAAATGCCTCTCACGCACCAATAGTGTTAAAGAGAGCGCCCATGTGCATGTCAAGCCACAAAGCCTAGAACTTTAAAATCTGTTTTAGTGCAAGAAAGAATATCAGCAAAGTCAATAGAGATATCATTATCCCATTCTTTTAGAGAAACTAACCAGGCTACTTTGGTGGCTGTTGAGTTTAAAATATTTGCAGAGCTGGTGTTATATTTTTGAACACACCTCATTTTAGTGAAAGATGTGACAGTTGTGTGAAACCCCAAGGACTGGGCTTATGATTTTTGCACTATTTTAGAACAGCATCATACAGCACTCTCCCCTGGATACAGACAGTGGACAGAATCAGACGACTACATACACATCACCACCCCAGAATTTGCAGTAAGTTACACAAAGTTGTATATTTACTTCAGAATTGCAGCAGACCATACCCATGGTTTTCATATTAAAATCTTTAACTCAATCATGTCCTATTATTTCATCCCCCACATCTCAAATACAGTACTTGAGGAAAAGAATTGCAAAACCAGACTGCACCTCAAAACTACTTAGGAAATTTGTAATTACAAAAGGTTCTTTTCACACCAAATCCACCTCAGGTGATTAAAAGTTGCAGGTATCCAAGTGAAAAGCGACCACTAACAACAGCACTAATTTGCATTCTCGTTGGCAGTCTCAAGCAGAGAACTAAATGGGCATGAAATTTTAACTACCTTCTTAAGCATATAAGTGGTCTCCCCATCTCATGGTAGGGGCATAATCATGGGGGAGCATGGAGAAGAACATAAGAATGGCCGTACTGGGTCAGACCAAAGGTCCATCTAGCCCAGTATCCTGTCTACCGACAGTGGCCAAAGCCAGGTACCCAAGAGGGAGTGAACCTAACAGGTAATGATCAAGTGATCTCTCTCCTGCCATCCATCTCCACCCTCCGACAGAGGCTAGGGACACCATTCCTTACCCATCCTGGCTAATTGCCATTAATGGACTTAACCTCCATGAATTTATCCAATTCTCTTTTAAACCCTATTATAGTCCTAGCCTTCACAACCTCTTCAGGCAAGAAGTCCCACAAGTTGACTGTGCGCTGTGTGAAGAACTTCCTTTTATTTGTTTTAAACCCGCTGCCCATTAATTTCATTTGGCGGCCCCTAGTTCATATATTATGGGAACAAGTGAATAACTTTTCCTTATTTACTTTCTCCACATCATTCATGATTTTATATACCTCTATCATATCCCCCCTTAGTCTCCTCTTTTCCAAGCTGAAAAGTCCTAGCCTCTTTAATCCCTCCTCATATGGGACCTGTTCCAAACCCCTAATAATTTCAGTTGCCCTTCTCTGAACCTTTTCTAATGCCAGTATATCTTTTTTTTGAGATGAGGAGACCTGATCTGTACGCAGTATTCAAGATGTGGGCGTACCATGGATTTATAAAAGGGCAATAAGATATTCTCTGTCTTATCCTCTATCCCTTTTTTAATGATTCCTAACATCCTGTTTGCTTTTTTTGACTGCTGCAGCACACTGCGTGGATGTCCACGATGATTCCAAGATCTTTTTCCTGATTAGTTGTAGCTAAATTAGCCCCCATTATATTGTATGTATAGTTGGTGCCTAGAGAGTTATAGGACAGATCTTTGGCTTTCAATATGCCGTGTATGCCACTTCCAGATGTAAAAGGGAAATCAGCTGCCTTCAACAGGGCATCTGGGATGCCCCCACATAAGAGGAAATCCCCAGATGGCATAAAATCAGCATAAGCAAGCAGAGGGCAGAAGGGATTATTGCTAGAGCTTCTTATGTTCCCACCATCCCCATCTGTGTAACAGCTTTTAGAGGGCTGTTAGCAGCCTGGTTAAATTAAAGCAGCCCTGAGGCTGCTCTAACTTTAGCCTCTAGGGCAGAGGTAATCAGTTACTTTTTTGTCAAGGTCCAAATTTCTTGGTCAGGTTATAGTCAAGGTCCAGACTCCAGAGAAGGAGAAAAAAATAATGATAATTAAATAAAGATTTTGGGGTGTGTTCAAAAGCATCTGAAAGTCCAGATTTGACCCAGTCTGCCTACTGACTACCCCTGCTCTAGGGCCTTGAGTGCAAAGATTACATGAACCCTCTGTCCCACCCCTTTTAGGCACTGCACTGAGCACAGTTTGGCCAGACCCATGGCCACAGTACCTAATTGTGGGGATTCTTACACTTTTTGCCCAGTCTCAAAAGCCATACATTGTTAAGTTGCCAGATGAATAACTGCTGTGCCTTATACTATCAACTCACATGTTTTGCATCTACCCTCATACTATCATATACCCAAGGGTGGCCCTACAGATATAATATCCTGCATTGATTTTTTTGTTTTGTTTTTAATATATGTATATAAAGTAGGGTGAAGATTAAATCAGGGGTTCTCAAACTTCATTGCACCACGACCCCCTTCTGACAATAAAAATTACTACACAACCCCAATAGGGAGGGCTGAAGGCTGAGCCCACACATGCCCCACTGACACAGGCAGGGAGGCAAAGCTGAATCCCAAGGGCTTCAGCCCCAGGTGGGGGCCCAGTAACCTGAGTCCCAACACGCAGGGCTGAAACCTTCAGGCTTCGGCCTCGGGTGGTGGGGCTCAGGCTTCAGCCCTGTGCCCCAGCAAGTCCAAGCCAGCCTTGGCAACCCCATTAAAATGGGGTCACAACCCACTTTGGGGTCCTGACCCAGAGTTTGAGAACTGCTGGATTAGATCACCAAATATTGTGTGTATGAATTTAAATGCTTGTAAATTATAACTCTGGAGGCCAAAATCCTAGTATATGTACAGGACACATTGAACGTGGACAGAGGTAGCACCACCTTTCCCCAGTGCACTGCTAGCATGCTCAACTCTGACATTAAGAGGCAACTTCTAGCAGATTACAGAGCTGTTCAGTCTGAACAACCAGTCAATCATTGGCCTTTCTGCTGCGACTACACAGCAGGATGTAAGGGATGGCTGTAATTATGACAGTCAGCTAGAAAGCAGCCACCACCTCTCTGCGAGCAGTACACGTAGCGGGGATGCTGCTGTCAATGGCCACAAGCAGCAGCAGGGAACCTTTGCCTCCTCGGGCATCAGGTCCGGTGGCTGGACGGCTGAACGCTGGCCCCGGCTTCCATGCAGCAGCGGCACCGCCCCTGCACTGTCACCGCACCAGGGCAGCCGCCACCTGCTGGCCGCCCCTGGGGCCCGGTCCCCTCCCTGGGCAGGCCCCCCAAAGCCCAGGGGCGCTGCCAGCCGGGACCCCCAAGCGGCAGGAGGAGGCCGCCAGAGCGGAGCGCCCAGGGCGGAGGCGCCCGGCAGCCCCCGAGCGCCGCGCGGCCCGAGCCCGGCGGGTACCTAGCTTCTGGCCCAGGAAGGTCATGCTGTGATAGGCCTTCTCGGCGGCGGCCAGGTGCGCCAGCCCGGCCAGCAGGGAGAGCCAGCTGGCTCCCGCGCTCTTGTTGGCCTCCCGCTCCTTCTCCACATTGTCCTTGGCCTTGTCGTACGAGAAGATGCCCAGGTGGGAGAAGAACGTCTCCAGCACGGCCTGCTCCAGCGGCACCGGGGCGCCCAGCGGGATCGACTCGCCCATGCCGCGCCGGCCGCTTCCAGCTTCCCGCCGGGCATATGATGCGCCAGGCCACCCCGCACGCCCCCCTCCCCGCCACCGCCTGACACGTGAGCGGGACGGGGCGGGGCGTCGCCGCGCTGACTCCGCCCCTCGGTGGACATGTGACGTGCGAGGTGGGGGGGGAAGGGGAGCAGTATGGACTAAGGCGCATGCTCCAAAAAAAGCCGGGTGACGTCGGCGGGTAGAAAGCCCTTCACTTCTGTGGGGTTTGGGCGCGGTTGTCTCGGGCGCTGAGTGTGGGGAAGGGCGGCTGGTGGGTGCCCAGAGCGCGGCCCAGCGTTCTCATGGCTCCCCTGTGGCAGGGGAGGGCAGCCTGAGCCTGATCCCGCGGGCTTTGCTCAGGCTCTCGCTGCCTCAGGGATCCCAGCACCTTCCCCGGCAGCGGTACCCTCTGCTCTGCCTCAGGGGTGAACAGAGCCTTTACTGCTGGGGGATTCTGCGCCACTGTGCAATGCAGAAGTGTGCAGAAATTAACCACGTGTGCGCAGAACTTCCTTTCCCCACAGAAATGGGCTGCAGTGATGTTGAGTTTAGCTAGAGGCCGCTGGACCCTGTAGAGCCTGGCTGGGAAATAGAAGACTGGGGCAGCCCGGAAGCAGGGGAGGGAACTGGAGGGTTCCCAGCAGTTGCAATTCTCAGCACCCCCTGAAGGAAGGGGGCGGGGGATGACATTCAGGAAACTCCTTGCAAGCTTGGGAACCCAGCATCAGGCTGTTTCTCCCTCTGGATTCCTGGGCTCTAGGAGGGTAGGGGGCATGAGGGGGTGAATTTCTGGGGAGGGGGGGAAGCAGAGAAACAGGAACTAGGCTGTCATAGGGGTTTATTTAAGTCTCTACTCCTGGGGGAAATTTTGTGTGGCTGTATTGTTACAGATATCTTTGCTGACAGTATTTTTAAATAAATTACTAAATGATTATATAGTGTTATTTTGAGAAATAACATTGGCAGAATTTTAAAATATTGTGCACATTTTGTTTTTTGTTTTTTTGGTTTAGAATTCCCCGAGGAGGAACCATTGCATAGAAAGGGAGCTGGGTCGTATAGGGGTGTCAGGCCAGAAGGGACCATTAGATCATCTGCTCTGACTTGCTCTATTCTAGGGAGCCACTCATCCAGTTTTATGCCACACAGTCTTTTTGGCTTGTTTGTCTGGTGGCCAGCACTGGGACAAAACCAGTAGGGTTGCCAAGTTGCTGAGTGCAGAAAACCAAACACCCTTGCCCCACCCCTTCTCTGAGGCCCTGCCAGCACTTACTCCATCCCCCCTCCCTCTATCACTTGCTCTCACCCACCTTGCTCACTTGCTCATTTTCACTGGGCTGGGGCAGGGGGTTGGGGTGTGGGAGGGGGTGAGGACTCCAGCTGGGGGTATGGGCTCTGGGATAGGGCCAGGAATGAGGGTTTGGGGTGTGGGAGGGGGCTCAGGGCTAGGGCACAGGGAATCTGTCCTATAACTCTCTATAACTAAATATACTGTAAATGCCACACAAGGGCCAAGCACAGTTGAAAGTGTGTACAACAGCAAACCTAGTACAAATAAATTACATTCTGAGACAAGAGAGAGATGTAGGGAGTTATCATCCAACATCAAAACATAATGCCCAGCCAAGTGGCTGTATACCATGTACAGCACTCTGAAGGCCAAGGCAAATGACTCAGATCCTGTGTATGTGCAAAGGTTAAATAGAAACAATATTTTTTCTTCCTGGGGTAAATCCCATAAACAAAAACTCAGGTCTTGGGTTGTCAGGCTCAGCCTGGGTGAGGAATAGTGTAGCTCAAAACTGGTAAACAAAAAAGTAAAATATTTTATGGACCCGACCAAGATGATGGAGTATCTGGCATAGGCCTCCTACTGCTTTGTATGGCACATAGTAAGTGTTCCTGCATGGGAAGAATAACTGCAATTTTTAGAATTATCATTATCAAACAACAGCATTATTATTTGTATTACAGTAGCACCTACTGACCTCAAGCAAGGTTGAATTGGGCAAGCCTCTGTAAATACAAATAGTAAGAGACAGTCTCTACCCCCAAACAATTTACTATCTAAATAGACAAAGACAGACAAAGGGTGGGAGAAAGGTTGAGTCATCATCTCATTTTACAGCTAGGGAACTGAGGCACAGAGATATTAAGTGATTTACCCAAACCAATACAGGTAATCTGTTAGGGCTGGAAATTGAACCTAGATCTCCTGAGTCATCTTTCTACCCCCTTCAGTTTTATTACAGATGTAACCCTTCTGCCAGTCAGAGTTGGTAGCAACAAGGACCGGGTTCAGTATACAACACAAAACCAGCTCGAGCCCCCACCCAGTGACCTGGGACAATTACACACCACCCCCTGGGCACCTCTAAGAGGCAACACTTCCCATTTTGCAAGCACAAAGTATGAATGTAACAAAGAAACTTTTAATAAAAGGAGGGAAGTAACCCAGCAAAAAACAGACAAAAGGAAGTACTTCTTCACACAAGGCATAGTCAACCTGTGGAACTCATAGCCAGGGGATGTTGTGAAGGTCAAAACCATTACTGGGTTGAGAAAATAATTAGATAAGTTCATGTAAGATAAGCACATCAATTGTTATCAGCCAAGATGGTCAGGGATGCAACACAATTCTCTGGGTGTCCCTAAGCCTCTGACTGCAAGAAGCTGGGACTGGATGACAGGGGATGGGTCACTTGATAATTGCCCCATTCTGTTACTTTCCTTTGAAGCACCTGGCATTTGCCACTGTAAGAAGAAAGAATATTGGGCTAGATCAGAGGTTCTCAAACTGAGGGTTGGGATCCCTCAGGGGGTCATGAGGTTATTACATGGGGGGGTCACGAGCTGTTAGACTCCACTCCAAACCCGTTTTGCCTCCAGCATTTATAATGGTGTTAAATATATTCAAAAGTGTTTTTAATTTATGGGGGGGCAGGGCACACTCAGAAGCTTGCTATGTGAAAGGGGTCACCAGTACAAAAGTTTGAGAACCACTGGGCTAGATGGACCATTGGTCTGACCCAATATGGCCATTCTTATGTTTTTGCAACCCTGGGGCCTTAAATGCTCTGCTGTTGTGTCTCACAGCCCAGACACCAATAGCGAGCAGGCAAGTATGCAATTCCCTGAGTGGTTGTGTGCTGTGCAGCCCTAGTTCAGGACTCTGACCCAAGCAGCCTGCCTACAACACAACAGCCCCACCCTGATCTCCTCCAGTCTTGTTTGCTACTTGCAGGGTGTCTCCAACACACACTCAGTCCCAAATTTCCCCCAAACCATCTGCCCTGAAATGTCCAGCCCTCTCCTAGCACACTTGGATAAATAATAAGGGTCATTGCCCCTTTAAAGAGACAAAAGCACAGTTTCTTACTTTAACTGGAGTCGACAATCACTTCAATTCAAACATAAGGACTGGGTTGGTTGAGATTATAAATAAAACAAGTTTATTTAATCAAAAGAGATAGGTTTTAAGTAAATTCAAGTACAAGGGATAAAGACAAAATGGTTAGAAGCAAACAAAATTTAAAAATACACTTTTTTAATGGTTAAGATGTAATTTAACAAGCTACCGTCTTTATTCAAGGTAGATTACTTACCAATCTTTCTGCTTTGCAACCACGGTTGACTTTCTCTCAGTCAGGATCTTCCTAGGTGAAAGATGCCAAAATGGCTCTTTTCCCCTTATATTTCTCAGAGTTTATTGACTCTGTTTCAAGAGACAGGATGACTTCATGCTGTTCTTTCCTTCCTGTGGACTTTCCATCTTCCTAACGATTTGATTGTAAATTGGGCTTCCATTGTTTTGATTCCACAATATTACCTTCCCTCCTGTATGGGAGAAAACCTGTTTCACCCTTTGTTTGGTCAGACTTTAAAGCATAATATCAGTAAGTATCCATAATTCCTTGTATAATGTATATATATATATATTTCACAATGATCTTGATCGTGTAATATGTCACAAGCTTTCAAAAAGATGCTGCTTGATACACTTTTATAATACAGCAAAAGTATATACAATCAGTTGATTCAATTGCTTATTATTTAAGGTTCAGACCCCCTCCCACACTCACTAGGTTGATGGTTTTGTTTACCTTTTATGTAAAGGTACCTTAATTGTCTCTGCCTGATGACCAGGCTGTCAGACAAAAACATACACATTTCATTGTATATGGGGACTGAGCTTTAGCATTGCTTGCCAAACAAACATAATTTTAGCACATATCCATAACTTTTGGTGTACACACCACATATATACATTATGCAAGAATATTAATGATCAGTGAGTCATTAGTTTTCCAATGATATATTACATGCCATCTTTTGGGTATATATAACATCACAACAGAGTGTTAAGTGTAGTGAGTCTGTCAGTCCTGACAAGAGTTGCTGACACACTGTAATGAACCATCAATGTGCCTCTATGTTACAGTCACCTCCTGATGACCTGCCTTAACTCCAAAACCTTAAGAGCATAATTTTCCATATAGATTAATAACTTCTTAATTATGATCTGTACATACATTTTGCAATGATTATGCTAATCAGTGGGCTCTTGGCAGAGACCTGACATGCCATGCTTTGCTAAACTATTATGCAGCTATCCAACCTAAGGGATACCTGTAAAATTCTACGCACCCTCTGTGCCTGCTGCCAGTTTGCACCAAGGGGTAGCTAGGTCACAGTGGGTACCTTTTATTCCTCAAAATTGTACTATGAAGAATAGCACCAACTGGAGCTTGTCGCATCCCAGATTTGGCATGGGACAATGGGTAACTGAAAGAGCACAGATGGGCAATGCAAATAGAATCAACTAATATTTTACCATGTTCTTCACTTCTTGTTGTCTTTTCATTTTGAGGAATAATGGGATGAGATTGCTGTAGTGTTTATTGTGATACTAGCATGATTTGACTATAACAATACAGATTCAGTGTAATTTGTGGCACAGATGTCTGCTGGAATCATTACAATGCTTACAGGTAAGAAATAATGCATGACATGAAATAAATGTTTCAGGTATTTAGTTTTGAAATGGTCCATCTATAGTTTTGACTATAATTA